GTTAGGAAGGCCAAATCATGCCTCTTTCATCAGCGCAGATTGCTGATTTGGCCTCCAAAATACGAAGTATGGTTTGGCCGCTGAAATGCAAAGTACACTGCACTTTGTGAATGGTCCTGCAGTCTTCTGGGACTTGTGAAGGCCTAGAGTCCTAGTCCTAGAAGGCTGAAGGGGAAGGAAGAGGGGGTTGAACTTCTGGCTCAGATCACCATGGTGCATCTGACTAGAAGTGGAAGCATATACCTGTCAAAACCAGATACTCACTCCCCCCTAAAAATGACTAAATGTGGCAGTAGAAGGGGGAGGATATAAACAAGTGGATCTTCCCCTTTTGGGTGAAGTTCCACTGTAAGTTGTCTTGCTCAACTGCCAGAAGGTCTTTATTAGCAGTGTGTAACACATTACAGTTCCTAAACCAGGTGATCCCCTTATTTTAGCATAGGCGGTACTTGCTTTTTTTTTTTTTTTTTGCTGCTTATCTATCTAACCAACTTTTCCCAGTACCTAATTGGTGAACCTGGGCTGCTTTCTTTGAATAGGCTTTTGACCTGTGGTGCCATAACATGGCTTGTGGCCTAACTTTGCACATGTACTGCTTGTCCTGACTCTGCAACAATCTGTACTGCCAAATCTCATTTTGAGCCCGTGACCTGGTCTAAAAGTAGAACTGATGATCATATCTGATCAGAAGCCTGTATCCTAGACTAACAACTAAGCCTAACAACTATCCTAGACTAACAACAGAAGCCTGTATCCTAGACTAAGAGCATATGCCGTTTATCGTGATCATGTGTTCTGACCAAGAATTTGTGCTGTCTACTGGGATCATGGTTTGGTAACCTTACCAAGAAGCTGTATTTCTAATCCTGATCATGGGCCTTTAATCTGGTGAAGAACACATGCTGCCAAACCTGATTATGAGCCTGTGATCTGACCAAGTACATGTGCTGGTTACCACGATCTAGGGCTTGTAACCTAGCCAAAAAGATATGTGATGTCAAACATGACCATGAACCTGTGACCTGCCTACCCTGAACACAGGTATGTGACCTGGCCAAGGACCTGTACTTCCTACCATGATCATGGCCCATTGACTTTGTCAAGTATTTATGTTGGTTACCCTAACAAATCATGCAACCTGGTCAAGAACAGGTATTGCCTAACAAGATTGCCTAACAAGATCATTGGACTGTTACCTGACCAAGGACCTGCCCTGCCTACCTTGATCATGGGCAAGTTATTTGGCTAAGAGGCTCTGTATACAATTAGAATTTAGGATTATTGTTTAGTGGGCTGTATTTGGGGTGTCTCAACAACACTCACTCCACAATTATGCTTCCTCTGTCACGTAATTAGAATTGCAGGTGAGACTGCCAGTCATCCACTGCAAACAATATATGGTTTCATATGAAAAGAGCATATAAATGATGTCCTCACACTTTTCTGGAGTGTGAGGAAAGGACTAGAATAATATCTACACAACAAAAATAGTTAAGAATCGGTATTAAAGTTTGGTACAACCCTTGGAATGTAAATGTGCCTACATAATGTACATGTGTACACATATCCTTTCTAGCCAGTGTGGTACACCTCATGTCTCATTCATCCCATGCAACAACATGCACTATGGTAACATGTTTTGGCTTATGTTTTCAAATGCATTTGAAAGAATCCTATTTAATTGACTTGAATGGGACCTTGCAGGGAAGCATGTCCCCCAAATGCAGGATGCCGTTTATTTTCATAATGAGTCATTTTGTATGTGAGAACATAATCTATCCAAGCAAATGTCTGTCTGTATTACTCTAAAAGTTCCATAATTTGCAAAATTCCAGGTAACATGAACAGTATGAACATACCCTCAACCAGGGCTGAAACAAGAGGTAGGAGGGAGGGGTTCTTTCCTTCTGTTACAAGGCTGACAGGAGTACTGACGGCGGCAGTGCTTTTGACAAGCAAGTGGCTGCTGTGTGTAAGATCCCCTAAGCTTGCACATCATGAAAGGGAGAGGGGGCACAGTTTGGCATCTTTGCCCTAAGCGCTGGATGACCTTGTCCCAGAACTGCCCTCAGCCCTTCCCTTCACTCCTTAATTTATAATCCTTCCTGTATTATTTAGTAAGAGTTATGCACACAGTTAAAATCTTCATTGATGCCAGTCGATGCAAATTATTTAAAAAACTGAAACCAATAGGCAAACCCAGCAACTATGGGATCTAACTTTTCTGCAATGTATTTTAAGATTATATTTTTTATGCCGTTTGAGCACAGTAGGAAAAACTCATAACTCACTTTGTCCATTTCATAATCAATGAGTCAGCTTTATTGAATAAACATATCAGCAGATCTTAATTTTGGAATAATAATGTACACAAACACTGAATCAGAATGTTTCCATACACTAGAGGGAAAGGTGCAAAGCCATGCATGAGTGTCTGTATACAGATTATAGTGTCTTTTTATCTTTTATAATGCTTTATGTTGCATTATTTCCTATTGCCTGTTGCATGAATTTAATAATAATATATATAAAAAATGGAATTTGGTCTTGGAATTTTGTTGGTGGTAACAAAAAATTGCAGTATGCTATACTGTGTGATATTAGTGAAGTTGTATTAAAAAACATACAAAAACAAACACAAGTGCGCTTCCAGCAGGAACTGTGGTGCTGCCAGCAGAGGTTGTTGTTCTTCGAGCAGGGGTTTTGGTGCTTCCAGTAGAGGGTGTAGTTCTTCTGGCAGGGGTTGTGGTGCCCTCAGTAGAGCGTATAGCGCTTCCAGGGGTTGTAGTGCTTCCAGCATGGGTTGTAGTGCTTCCAGTAGAGGGTGTAGTGCTTCCAGTAGAGGGTGTAGTGCTTCCAGCAGGGGTTGTGGTGCTTCCAGTAGAGGGTGTAGTGCTTCCAGCAGGGGTTGTACTGCTTCCAGTAGAGGGTGTAGTGCTTCCAGCAGGGGTTGTGGTGCTTCCAGTAGAGGGTGTAGTGCTTCCAGCAGGGGTTGTGGTGCTTCCAGTAGAGGGGTGTAGTGCTTCCAGCAGGGGTTGTGGTGCTTCCAGCAGGGGTTGTAGTGCTTCCAGTAGAGGGTGTAGTGCTTCCAGCAGGGTTGTGGTGCTTCCAGCAGGGGTTGTAGTGCTTCCAGTAGAGGGTGTAGTGCTTTCAGCAGGGGTTGTGCTGCTTCCAGCAGGGGTTGTGGTGCTTCCAGCAGGGGTTGTAGTGCTTCCAGTAGAGGTTGTGGTGCTTCCAGCAGGGGTTGTAGTGCTTCCAGTAGAGGGTGTAGTGCTTTTAGCAGGGGTTGTGGTTCTTCCAGCAGGGGTTGTAGTGCTTCCAGTAGGGGTGTAGTGCTTTTAGCAGGGGTTGTGGTGCTTCCAGCAGGGGTTGTAGTGCTTCCAGTAGAGGGTGTTGTGCTTTCGGCAGGGGTTGTAGTGCTGCCAGCAGAGGTTGTGGTGCTTCCAGCAGGAGTTGTGGTGCTTCCAGCAGGGGTTGTAGTGATTCCAGCAGAGGTTGTGGTGCTTCTGCTAGAGGTTGTGGTGCTTCCAGCAGGGGTTGTAGTGCTTCCAGCAGTGGACTGAGCAGCTGTACATGTATGTGAAAAGTCAATTATTTACAATATATATCTACATTAGTGTCACAGTAAACTATTTTTAAGTATTATGCAAAGCTTTTAATGTTTGTCAAAAAGACAAAGGGAAACTGAATAAGCAGTTATTAAAATATATTGTTCATACATGTGTTCATAAACACTTCCAGAATAACAAGTGGAAGGTTCGGGGTTGATTTACTAAAGTCAAATAGATTGTGCACTTTGTATGTTCTCTTGCACTCAACAGCTTTCTCCACAGCTTAGTGAATGTGGTGAAGATCTGCTGACTTCCATCATCCTATCATTGGCAAGCAAAAATGCTGTTTTTTTTTCCCTGCACCTGATTGGGTATTCTTTACAAGGAGAAGCATCTCCACATTAACTAAGCTCTAAGGGCAATGTGTGCTAATTGCCTTTAGTAAATCAACCCCATTGTCTACTTCTCCAGACATAGACCAGATTTTGCCATTAACTATACAACTGAAACACATATATTGTTTTGCCCCAAATTTTTTACAATGCAATGCACACTACATTGTGATTGACTTACTCCTGCTCCTCTATATGCATGAGTGTCATATAAACGGTGTCACAGCTTTGAGGAGGGGAGACATGATTGAAATCTTGAAATACATGAAGGTGGTGAATAAGGTTCAGGATGGCAGTATTTTCAATATGAAGTCAAGATCAAGAACACATTAGTTGAAGTATTATTTTACCAAAAGTAGTTGATACTTGAAATAGATTTCCAGCAGAGGTAGTAAGTCGGTCAACAGTAAGTAGACTCATACATGCTTGGGACAAACATAGATCTATACTCAGACAAAAAGTAAAATAAAAATGTCTATCTATCTATCTATCTATCTATCTATCTATCTGTCTATCAATCTACTGTATTTTTTGCTCCATAAGACACACCTAATTATAAGACGCACCTAGGTTTTAGAGGAGGAAAACAAGAAAAAAAATATTCTGAACCAATGGACTGCAGACATAGTACAGGAAATGACCAGAGACTGCAGACATAGTACAGGAGATGACTAGAGACTGCGAACATACTACAGGAGATGACCAGAGACTGCAGGAATAGTACAGGAGATGACCAGAGACTGCGGACATAGTACAGGAGAAGACCAAAGACTGCGGACATACTACAGGAGATGACCAGAGATTGTGGACATACTACAGGAGATGACCAGAGACTGCGGACATACTACAGGAGATGACCAGAGACTGCGGACATGCAGATGACCATAGTACAGGAGATGACCAGAGACTGTGGACATAGTACAGGAGATGACCAGAGACTGCGGACATAGTACAGGAGATGACCAGAGACTGCAGACATAGTACAGGAGATGACCAGAGACTGTACGAACACTGCGGACATAGTACAGGAGATGACCAGAGACTGCAGATATAGTACAGGAGATGACCAGAGACTGCGAACATACTACAGGAGATGACCAGAGACTGCGAACATACTACAGGAGATGACCAGAGACTGCGAACATACTACAGGAGATGACCAGAGACTGCAGATATAGTACAGGAGATGACCAGAGACTGCAGATATAGTACAGGAGATGACCAGAGACTGCGAACATACTACAGGAGATGACCAGAGACTGCGAACATACTACAGGAGATGACCAGAGACTGCAGGAATAGTAGAGGAGATGACCAGAGACTGCGGACATAGTACAGGAGATGACCAGAGACTGCCGACATAGTACAGGAGATGACCAGAGACTGCGGACATACTACAGGAGATGACCAGAGACTGCGGACATAGTACAGAAGATGACCAGAGACTGCGGACATAGTACAGGAGATGACCAGAGACTGCAGACCTTTGGGGAGTGGAGGAAGGGAGAGGGTACCTGAATTTGACAGGTACCCACTCCCACTTCCGTGGAGTTGTCCTTCCTCCCCGTAGTCTTCTGGGATATGTGACAGGTCCCAGAAGACTACGGGGCCATTCACAAAGCGCAGCTGGATGCCCACACTAAAGATGCCAGCTCCGGGAGAGAAGACGGCCAGTGAAACCATGACACTGCTGGACTGAGGAACAGGTAGGACAGAGGAGCAGGTTTTGCTGCACAGAAGATCCGAGCGGCTGGCCTGGTATTCTAATATGGAAAGGGGGGAATACGGGGCCGGCAGCTCCATATTCGCTCCATAAGAAGCACAACATTTTCCTCCATTTTTTGGGGGGAAAAAAGTGCGTCTTATGGAGCAAAAAGTCCTAAATAAAGTCCCACAAAAATCTTCAAGTTCTCCAAGGGAGTTCGCACATAGTGAACTCCCTTGGAGAACTTGAAGATTTTTGTGGGACTTTATTTAGGACTTTTTCACATCAAAAGTCATATTTTGATATTTAGTTTTGTATTAAAAAACAGACTGCAGCTGCATTGTATTGATGTAAACGAACAGGCACCATGGAGAAGAATGTAATTTATATTGTTGTACAGTGCAGCGCAACAGCAACTTTAGGAGAAGATGCACTACTATAAACGGGCTAAATGAAGCTATAGAATATTAAAACATGCATACCAAATCAGTCACATTTTCATTAAATTACAGTATTCTTATTTTTAGTGCCATTTATTTAAAGTGATTATAAACCTTACTTATTTAATAACAAACATTTCATACTTACCTGCTCTGTGCAATGGTTTTGCATCCTTTTCTCAGGTCTCCTGCCAGCATTCTTGGCCCCTCCCCTTTGCCAAGTGCCCCAATACCAAACCGCTTTCTACGGGGGCATTCGTGCATGCTTGCTCCTGAACCAGCTCAGTGTGGCCCAGCCCAGCCCTGCCCAATCCCCCCCCCCCCCCCCCCCCAGTCCTCACTGGCTGTGATTGACAGCAGTGGATGCTAATTGTTTCTGTTTCTGAGCCAATGAGGAGGGAGAGAGCAGGGAGAGATGCTGCTCTCATGCACATTGCTGGATCAAGATTGGGCTCTGGTATGTATAACTGAGGGCTGGTGGAAGGGGGTTGAGCACTGAAGATTTTTTGCCCTAATGCGAGGAATAGAATAAGGTATAAAAAAAAACCTTCAGCACTCACAACCACTCCAGTGTTTTCCATTGCAATGCAAATATTGGAGGTTTTTTTTACCTACCACAGAATTTTCTCTTTCTATCCCTACATTGCTGAGCCCAGAAGAAACACAGTCAGACTGGTGACATGACTTTGCTCTACTGTAACTAACTAGCTATGACACCAATTGGGTGTTTATTTACTAAAGCTGGCAAGTGCAAAATCTGGTGCAACTCTGCATATAAACCAGCTTCCATGATTTATTGCCAAAACAAGCAGAAGTTAGACGTTAAAGGGCTACCATGCACACCTGCAACAGATTCTGAGTGCACCAGTTTTAGTAAATCCCCCCAATTGTCTCTGCCTGTAATTGGAGAGTGAAGGAGCAGCAAATTGTGCGTGTAGGACTCCAGATTGTCCTCAACTCTTCCAGTCTGAATGCTACTGTTCAGAAGATTACAAACGACATTTAGGCATTTACAGAATACTAGGTGTATGAATGTAAGATTTGTTTAATGCATACATAACTGCATTCATTAGCAATGTTACTGTTCCCATTTGGAAATCGAGCATTATTTTTTCTTAATGCTTTTTCTCCATTCACCTCTTTTTTTTATGATGAAGGGAACATATGTTTAGTCACCTGAACATCTTTAGAGTTTTTTTTCTCTAGCATATGTGTTTATATTTTTGCATACAAAGTCCATACATATTCAATAGATGGTGTTCTTTTAATAAAGAAGTAATATTAATAACCTCTAATGACTACACAATATGTCATTTTGTAATATTAAATAGGGAGTGTTGAATGTTTACTACATCATAATTACTGCATTCATATATTTTAATATATGATTTCATTAACTGAGCATGGCGTAATGCGAGCTTTAACTATAAAGCTACACTCATGCTGATCCCAAAATTTAAGCAATCTATAAAATAAAGCCTGAAAACATATTTTCTTGCTTAATTTTCCAACTTCCAAAATCTCTTGATTGACACAAGTAAGAATAGAAATACTTTGATTACCAGCATTTTTGTATGTCCCAAAATGCTTGTGCTATTGTCTCTGAGCCACCTAGGTTAACAGAACACAGGTCCAAATTTATCTTCAGCATCAACGTTGCGTCTTTTATATCCTTGGAAAAATAACTTATGTGCATATATTATGATATAGAATCAGTTTAAATAGATGCAGAACAATCCTTAAATGAGATGCATAGTAAATTGGTTTTAAGCCTTCGTCATTCTTAGATAGATAGATAGATAGATATACTAATTATTTTATCACTTGATTAACAAAACATTATTCTGTTGTGAGTGCCCAGTAATTGTGACTCTCATCTGGTGGAATTTTTGGGAACAGCCCTTTTTCAAAGCTTTAACTAGGACAAACTGCAGACTAATTGTAATACCGTAGATAGGTAAAACATAAATAATTGGAATACTATAGGCAGTAATGACACAATTAATCAAAAGATGCATTGTGGGAACATTTACTATAAATCTGCACTCATGTGTGAATATAGCAGAACTTTTTTTGAATCAGAATAGAATCAAAGTAAGCTATAAATAGGAGTGGGCTTGTTGGTGGATTCTTTGTAATTGCTAGTTGTGTTTACAACATACTGAAGCAAGAGTTTGCTTGATACATGCTTCCTTTTCTGCTTCAGAACAAACATTTTATAGAATGCATTTTTTTTGTTGCAGTGAATCAGTGCACAAAAGACTGAGATAAATAGTAATCCAGTTGAAATATATATTATGTCAACTGGTTCTTTCTGCTGACTCCAATGTTACTAAAGACCTCGTTCTAAGAGGATGAATTTTTAGAACTGAAAATAACTTATCTTCTGTTTACATGACATACGCCTATTAGACTTATGGGTCAGTCCTCCAAAAACTGACATTTTACTCTTAAGTCCCCTTTTATATGGGGCAGATTGTGTTCCCATCAACAGGGGATCAGCTCACAGATCCCCTGCTGATCATAGCAGAGCAGGCCGATGACACATCTATGTCTGCTCAGTTTCTGTAGAGCGGACATGGACAGAGCCCGCTCTGCTCTATGGGCTCCTAGGTATAAACAGATTCCAATGTTCCTTTACACCCAAATACCCTCTGATCCAATCTGATCTACTGAAATAGAAGAGGATGGATCCCCTTCAATTGTTTTTTTTTTTTTTAGCAGATCTGATCAGACCCGGAGGTAGGCGAGTAAAAGCAAATACAAGTCATTTACACCCACCTGTCCAAAGAAATGCATGGACCTTTCTGATCAAGTCCTCCTGAAAAACTGTCAGGTGGACTTGATCGGATCACCCGTGTGAAAGGGATCTAAAAGGATTCCAGTACATATAGTTACCCCATGATGTCTTTTATTATCTGGGCACTCCTGCTCTGAAATCCTTCCACATCCATTGAGAAGACTGACCCACCTGCACTGCAATTAAATGGACTCTGTAACTTTCTCTCCTACATCTCCTAGCAAAGCCAATTACATGCTCTAAGGACTAATACTCACCCACTCAAAAGGTTATTATGTGCCCTTTCTCTGACCTTTTCCCCTATTTATGAGCTTTTTTTTCCAAAATTCTACTTTTCATATAATTTATGTGCACTTGTATAAGGCCAAAATGAGTTTTCTCTATTTAAATTTGCACATTTTTCAGGTTTAAAATTAATAATTGAATAAATATATGGAAGTAACTCAGGACAACCACCCCAGCATTCAAAAATGTATAAGTCAATAGATATAGTTTAGTGGCTTTAGTAAAGAAAAAAAAACCTCTGTATCTACTCTATATTGTAAAGGTCAATATAAATTAATTAACAAATAAGTCACACAAGGCTATCAACTTGATGAGAGGTAAAGTCTAGTTGATTCTTAAAATCTCAACAATTGATTGTGGAAGGTGAACTGGCTACCACAGCTCAGTTTTTTTTCCTACAGAAAGCTGAAATGATGATCATAGATTTGTATTTGTCAAAGCTTTTGAGTATATTATGCCATTCAAATCTAATTGTTGTTCTGCTCAAATCTACATAGTGGCCACAATATCATCATCAAAAGGTACTATAATAAACAATCTTACCCTAAAGATTTAAATTTTTCTGCAATAAATATTGAGCACTTTTGCCCTAGTCTAGATTTATTACATTTACAGTTTATACAAAATATGCAACCTTCAAAGACAACATAATTTTACAATCTAAAAAATAAACTCTAAAATCTAATCTTCTTAGTCAAATCACCAAATTACCTGTCTTGATCAACAGAAGTAAGAATAGAAATCCTTTCAGCATCGTTGTGTGTCCCATAATGCTTGTGGTATTGTGTCTCGGAGACACCTAGGTTTACAGAACAGAGGTCAACAACTATCTTCAGTATCAACTCTGCCTCTTTTATATCCTTTGAACTCGTGGATATATTATGAAATAGAATAAGTTTAAATAGATACAGGACAATCCTCAAATGAGATGCAAATAAATTAGTTTTAAGCTTTCATCATCCTTTAGATATCCTGATTATTTTATCACTTGATTAGTATGATATATTCTCTTGTGAGTGCCCAGTAGATGTGACTCACCTAGTGGAATTTTTGGGTATGGCCCTTTTTCAAAGCTTTAAGTTGGACAACTGTAGAATAATTGGGAAAAAAATAGGTAATAATGACAAACATAAGAAACTAGTCATGATTCATGTTGTAAAAGTTAATGCTTAAGGTAGTTCTTGCATTGTAAATAACTGAATATCTTCATTGTATTTACATCAGTAAAACTAGCAAAGAGAATCTCAATCATTTGTTGAACTAAGCACAATTTATGACCAATGAGTTTTTAAAATTATGTTTCATACACAGTTGTTTAAACACTCTCACTAGTTATCATTTGTTTATTAGAGAATGTTATGTTATTAGCATTCCCTACTAAATAAATGTACATTTATGTCCAGATAGGA